CACACACACACACACACACACACACACACACACACACACACACACACACACACACACTTGCTGCCTGATTGGATTCAAACCAAATCAATGCAGTCAATCTGTTGATACATGAAGGTGCTGAGGCGTACAGCGCAGCATCTCTGTTTCCTTGGTGCCTTCTCTGTCCTCATGGCGCTGAGATGAACCAAACAAGTCAGAGAATTGTTCGTTACTGCCCTGCTGCAGAAAGGCTGATGCTTGTGACTGAACCCACAGCTGTGGGCACTGTCTCTCTCTGTTAGCAAAATATCTTATGAGTTGTTGGATGAGTTTCAATGAACTCTTCAGCAGATGACCAGTGGAAGTAGATCTACAGCTGATCGACGTTTGGAGCCAGCCCAATTCAAGATGGCTGCCTCAGCTATGTGACCTTCTGACTCAGTCATTTTTGCAGATATTCCCCTAAAGTTAGGTGTGGACGTAGCTGAGAGTCATTCACAACACTGAGTATATCTTGAGATATTGCATGAAAGTTTACACTGTTATCTTTTTCTAGAAATTTCACTAAAAATAACTAAAATAAAAAGTGAACTGTAATAAGACAGTGCTTTTCCAACAAACCAAATCAGCTCTTTACTACCAAAGCTGTACCCTCATTAACCAATCAACGCATATTCTTACAACAACAGTGCATTTCTACAGAATAAAACATTCTGTAGTCTAATCAGTGCTTTAAATTCTGAACTTATTTTTCCTCAAAGACCCCTTTTTTAATTCCAAGCCAAGCTGAGCCCCCCAATCCCTCACTACTTCACACATCTGCTAAAGACACGTTCAGCCTTTATCTATTTATCAAAATATTAAAGAGAATAAAGTGAATAATTAAACTTTTATTTGGAAATAGGAAAATAAGAAGAACTAAATTTTACAGGGTTTTAATTATTTAATGGAATTTCTTATAAATAAACAATAAATGTGTATTTTCACAACCTCTGAGCAGACACGGTTATAGCTGAATAGCCCTGTGATGGAGGGTCATATGGCATCCTTCTCAGTATTAAAAGCTGAACGAATGTTTCTAGTTTATTTTTTTCTCAATAAGCAGCATTTTTAACAAATAATAAATGAAAGGTTGACACAAATGAAGTTTAAACTTGCAACAAACAAAAAAGAAAACTTGACATTTTTCAACATAAGATGGACTCAAACTGTAGCATAATTCTAAAGCTGAGTAAAAACAGTGATCATACAGTTGAGTGACAGACTTGTCCACAAACAGTGCAGCCACGAAGCGTTGATCTCACGTGTTTCCGTCTGATTTAACGTAGCGTCGACAGCTGACAGTGTTGTGGCTGCTGGTCCAAGTGAAGAGGCAGCACTCGCCCAGACGTTCGTCTCGTACTCTGACGAATACAGTCATTAGAGAAGTCCCACTCCAGGCTCTGAGTCTCTGCCATTGTATGACTCATCCTGGAATTTCATGTGAAAAATCCCAAAGCTATTTATGGATTTCATGTAAAGTTAATCAAAAGACGCATCCCTTCTCCGGTCGCTTTACAAGAGGCTGCAACAGATTTGAAGTGGGTCGCGGAGAGTTCTTAAACATCGCTCGCTTCTCCTTTTGGATAGAGTGTTGCACATGAAGCAGAAAAGTGAGAAAAAAAACTCAGTCGGTGTTTTTCTTACATCTTATTTTTTGACTTTCATTTACTAAAAAAACTAATGTTTCATTTGGGCTCACAATATGTTTTATAGCAGTTTAGTTCATTCAGATTAATACTGGTATTTCCTAAAGAAAATTGAAAATTGAGACACATGTTTTGATTGAAATTCACTTTGAAATCATCCTTTTACTTCCTACCATCTGTGTAAAATGTCTCTGTGGTTAATTTGTTAGTCTTTGGGGATTTCCCTGCCTGAGGGTAATATGGAGCAGAACCAGTTGTACTGAGTAAAATGAGCAGCATAAATAATGGCTGAGCCTCAGGAGATGCTGCTGATTTTACAGGAGGAATGAGGCACGTGTCTATGTCTCAATCATACAAGAAGAAGCCAAAGGTTCACTAAAGAGGAGCAACTGGCAGAAAAGGAACTCTTTAAAGAAACAGCAAAGGAAAGAAAAGAAATCGTGAATTGCTTTGCAGCAAGTCAAGCTGAAATAGAACAAGAACTTCCACTTAGAGAACACGCTCCTGTTTTTTGAACATGCTGAAATCAAACATATGAAGTCCTCCAAGCAAACATTAACAAGACCGTTCTAATCTTTTAGAGCAGAGTTGTGTGGAAAGGTTTGGAGCAAAGAGCATCTTACCTGTTGTGGATAGATTTTGAAGTTAAATGGAGCATCTCTACATCACAAAAACACATGTTGTGAAACTTCTGGAGTCTGAGTTACATGTATTAGGAGTGCAATAATACGTGTATCTGTATCGAATCATTCACACTACACTGAAAAAAACAACTAGTAAGATTTACTTGAAAAAAATCCTCCTAACAATTTGCACTAATGTTTGTTAAGTAAATTTAAATGCTACAAATTCATGTAA